CCGCCGCAACCGTGCTTCCAGCACGAGGAGCGCCCTCAACACGCACCCGAGCTGTTGGTCCCGTAACTCCCTTCCGGCACGCACTTCTGCCTCCTTCTCCTGCAGCTTTGTGGTGAACGCGGCCACCAACTGCCGGCAGCGCACCGTCTGCAGACGCAGCGCCGTCCGTGTCTCCTCCAGCTCTCGGCGGAGTGCTCTCACCTCGCACTCCATCTGCAAACGAAAATCATACATCAAACCGTGCAGTTCTGTTACGAATCGTTTGAGTTTGGATGCGCCTCTGTTCATGGTTTGGTGCGGTGTAAGCCAACCAGGTCATCTGGTTCTTCTTTTACTAGAGTCGCAATTTGACCATCCCTCGATTCGGCGGTCATCGTTATCCACAAAACAACACTGGGGAAGTCGAGTATTTGTTGCCTTTTTATTTGTGAGCACGATCAAACTGCCACAATATGGCTGACTGACTGTTGCAAGGAAGCGGCTGCACTTTTCAACAACTGGGGTTCAAATGAAGAGCTACCAACAGCACTTCATTTTTTCGACCGTGCTGGGGCTTGCTACGTCACACGCAGGCGACATAACTTTCGTGGCAGGCGTCCCTCACTGATGGAAACTTCTCTTAGTGGCCTGTGATGAGACTGAATAACACATTTCATAATTTGTCTGTTTCTGTAGTCCTTCCATTGTCCAAACGTTGTCTTCCATTTTGGAGTTCTTTGTGATTTCAGAAAAAAACTTGTTATTGCAAAGGTAAAAAAAATGGCTCGTCAGTAGTGACCGGGCTACGAGTTGGACAGCTGGGGTTCGATTCGCGACAAGGTAAGATTTCTATCTTCGCCACATCAACATCAGCTCTGGTACGCATCCAACCTTCTATCCAATTGGTGCCTGCGATCTATCCAAGGGGGTAAAGTGGCCGGAACATGAAACTAACCACTAAATCTTGTGCTGAAGTTAAGAATACCTTCACTCCCCCATACATTTACATGGCGTGGTGCTTAGTTAAGACCAGGGACAAATTTACTTTTACCATGGATTTCCACAAAGGATTCCTCTACTGTGCCGTAATACCAGTTATACTGTACGTAATGTGTTTATAACGCGTGACCTACAAGTGGAGCACAGAGGTTCATTACCGTGCTAACAAAATCCCGACACTGGTCACTATTCTGAGTCAGATTAATCCAATATAGGAACTCCCAAACCGATTTTTCCATTATAATGTACTTTATTTCATGCGCTTCGTAAAGAGAACTTAAAAATGTAAGGTCGACTACAAGGTAAATATCAGGAAATATAATACTATGGAAACGATATGATAATATTGATAGTAACAGCAATAACAACATAATTCTTTTTAGTAGAAACCAAAGTTCATCCCACGCTGTTTGCCCTTCCTTTGTCTCTCAGCATGAAGAGCTGTTTGTATTATTTGTTTCTCGACATGAAGTGGAAACACGACACTTGTACAAACCGGTGTTTATTCACCCTAATTGTCGTAATGGACAACATGAATAAGAGGTCACTCACATAACAACTAAAGTTAAATGCCACTGACGCATACTATACAAAAACAGCGTGGAGCAAACAAGCAAAACTTTAAGTACTAGAGAACATGAAAACACATGCTTCCACAACCAACCCGTGAAGCATAGTCCTTCTAGAGAAGCTGATGGTCACTCAGCTAATATACACACTTCCCGTCTCTGATTGACGTGTTTACAAAAGCCCGCCACTGATCTACATCCGGAGCCAGTTGAATCCAGTCCATACCCTCACACTATTCACCCTCCCAACAACAACTGTGTTACATAAATTTGGTGTCTTCTTTCATATTTTCCATCTAAACTTTTGTACGCAATCATTATATCCCCATGCGTGCTGCATGTCGTGTCCATCTCATCCTCCTTGGTTTCACCAACCTGACAATAGACCTATTTGGTGAACAACACATATTATTTTAACATCACTTATCGACAAATTTTACATAATGACTTTCATGTGTTAACAATTTTAAATACGACAGTGGATATTTGAGGTTATGTCTGAACGATTTAACGTGTCAGAATATGTGATATTGAAAATTACGCAAAGAAATGGATTACTAAATTACATAAATATTAATTTATCGACACGGTTCTTGTAAGTCTCTCCATGTCCACTTAATTCCATGAGTAGTCTGCTTTAAGTTCTTGTCAGAACTTCTCATCGAAATATTGATAAAATACGTCGATTATGACAGCTGTATAATCAGCAACACGGAGTTACATTTCTGAGCTAAATTTTGTCCGGATAGAGCAAGTCTAATGGTCCACATTACTAGTCTCAACCCATTTAAAATTCCATTACAATTATCCCCCTAAGTTAGGGTCGCTTTCAGTACATATCAAATTACGACTGGGGGAAGTGAAGTGTAACCAGCTGGCTCGTCTGCTGCAGAAGCGACGTGAAGTGCCGTGGAACAGCGTTTGAATTATTAAATCCTGGGGACAATACATTTCAGGATACAATTCTATAGCAGATGTAACAGGCTTGGATAACTGACGATTGTAAAGAAATTCCACAACAGTAACGTGTGATGATAACAAAGGTTTCATGGATCGTAAGATATTTAACGATGCAGTGCCAATTGGTGCAGTTATTTAGCACTGAATGGTTTGAAAGGATGATCACGTTCGATAACTCGGAAATATAAAGATACTTAACTCGAAACTATTAGGAGTTTGTGCTTGTTTCAAGGAACGTCTCGGCAGTCATCTCCACATGGAGAAGGAATAAAACCTATCAGGATTCGGGCCAGATACTTTAGATACACAGACATATTTGACAGCAACGCCAAGGCAGAACACCAAGTGTTTCAGAACACGCAAATAGATAGATGTAGGCGGGGCATGAGAGAAATGGGACGGAATGCAAGGAGGTTGGAATAAATCGTCACGATTCTCACAAATAATCTGGCGTGCGTTATCAGACATGATTTCCCTGCAAGGAGCGTGCATGTCAAGAATTTTATTTTAATATTTACAATAGCAGAGAAGTCAGCAAACTGGGCATTACTCTGAAATCTCCTCGTACATAAAATAACACTGTTCAACTCTTAATATGAATACACGAATACACTTAGTTTCCCATCTGATGGCGATAATTAATGGGTTGTTGGAGCAAGGCATGAAAACATGTTACAGACGTAATTACAATTGTGTAAAGGATATTTTTTTACGTTAAAAAGACAAACATGGCAACGATGCAAAATTTTAATTGTAGCAGGTAAATTTAACGTAGCCGGACTGTAAATTGTACACAGAAATGGATCTCTATAGGTTATATTAATTATATATTAACTACATAATTTACATTCATCATTGTACTAATTTGTAGTCCCCACTCTATCTAATCTACCCATACACACAAGCTATCGAAAGAAAGCAGGCTTCGAAACTTACGCAGAACTTGTTCTAATACATTGATGAATGAAACAATGAAATGTCCTCCAACAGTACAGATTCACACTCCAGTCTCTTCAATCTGTAGGTCGCGTAACTTGTTTCTATGACAACCAACAAAAAATACCTAGACACGCTAAGACAGTACTTTACTCTAGAGATAAAGGAAGTCATCAGCTATTCAACAGACGCTTATACGTAGAAGCGTGCACTGCTTTCTGAAAACTCTGATACCAGGTTGAGGTTATCCGAGGCCGGACAGTGCCCTATCGATGGTCACTGCTCTTATATCTCGCATACCGATTACCATGTAGGCTGCCAAATGATGTTTATGAGTCGTTCCCAAGACAACGTCCTTGGAAGGCCATGGCTTCAACTGCCTATTACTGTCTTAATCGTGGGCTGTAGGTCTACACGTTTTCTTATGAACTAGAAATGTATCCAGCAGTAGGCCGATTGCATTTAATATCGCAGTTCTTGCGGATTCGTCTGTTTACGTCTACCTCGCATCTGCGAGCTGTTTGTCTACTCTTATGTCATAACACTGGTGACTCAGTCAGTATATTCTTCTCAGGCCAATTCTGAACGTCCTTGGGAAGATCTTGGAGTCTACTTTCCTTCGAATGCTTAAATATATATCGTGAAATTATAATTAATTAATTAATAATTATGCAATTTGGTGATCCATTTCCGTGTAAACTATATAGAGACTATTTCATGCTACGTTTATGATGCATCTCCAGTGATTTATCATTTACCATCATCAAAACCGTAAGCTGAATGCAGGACTTGCGCCGTGTAGTCTGGTAGAAGTTTACTAACATTTTAGAAGTCCTTGCTTCCTCCATCATCAGGGCTCAGTACACTGGTGATTGGGGCACCAAGGATATACAACCCAGCAGACAGCCATCTTCGTACTCAGCGCCGTGAAAACCTCAAATCCTTTTCGGATCTTTAGCCATTGTCACACCCACTGCACAAGCACTATTGGCAGTTAATGAAAAAGAACGAAAGAGATGGTTATCTGTTGTCGTGGCATGTCGTTCACGTATACAAAACTGACCTAATACCATTATGGTAAAATTACCTCTGGATGTTGTAGAAATATATACGTTTCGGAGGCTGACATTGCCTCTGTCTTCAGGTAGATGGAAAATATATTTAACTCGCCTCGCAAAGTAGGTGCAATCCCTATCTAAAGATAGAGACAGACAGTTTCCGAAACGTCGTCTATATTTATCCAGACAGTGAACAATAACCAAAATTCTCCCATAAAGTTACCTAAGTGCATGAAGTAGAATGCCTACGTTATAACGAAAGGCTTGTAATTTACACATCACGACCTGCATATCTTAGTCGTACTTCAACGACCTTCCTGCCAGTAGTTCACGTCTTGTGAAGGCCGAAGTGCTTCCCGCACCGAGAGACGTGTGGTTGGTTACGCTAAGCTCCACTGCCTCTAGTGGCGTTCATCACGTTATGGCTGCAGACATGATTCAAACGCGTTCCAACAAAGAGTTCTGACCAAATTAGTGTTTTCAAAGCTTGTTTTGCCCTAACAAATATTTTAGACTCAAAGAATACGTTTTCGACGTACACTTGCATGGGGCGAGAAGATTGTCTAATGAAAGAGGCCGCTGAGATTCAGCAACCTCACAGTGGCTCAACATAAAAACAGGAATTTACTTTATGATTAACATTCACATGACATGCAGAACCGCTTCGTATTCGAATTAAGCAATATTCTCGTTGGTCTAGTGATAGAACGTT